AACGTCGCATTTTTCAGACACAGAACTACAGTGTTAAGTGAAGAGTTACTGTCTGGGGTAATCTGCCCCCAAGAGTTCGAGAGTGGCTGAAGCCTGAGGTTTTCTATCCTGTCCAAAGCTATTAGGTATTCTAACTGTGGTTAGTTTGGTTATCCCCAGAAACGTCCAGGCCCTCTTTGAATCTTGCTACGTTCGTTCCCTCCTGTGGCATGGAGTTCCCCAGTCTAATGTTACACGTGGAGTGAAAAAGTATTTCATTTGTTTCTAATTGGCTACCTTCATATGCCTTTCCCCCTGTTCTCGTGCTGTGAGACGGAGAGATCAGAAACTCCCGCTCCCCCTTCTCTAGCCCAGTCATCATCTTGTATATTTCGATCGTGTTGTCTCTTATTCGCCTCCTCGCTAAGGGAAACAATTCCAATCTTTGCAGTCTCTCTTCAGCGGGAGTTTTTTTTTTTTTCCAGGCCCCTGATCATTGTCATCACCCATCTAATTCACCAACGTGCTAGCGTTTCTTTCCTGGGAACCAGTTGCTGGGGTTGCCATGGAGATATCAGGCAGGAGCCAATGGGATGGGAGGTGGGGGACCACACAATGGTGAATGGTCCACAAACTGATCCCTACTGAGCAGTGTGCAGATCTGAGATGGTCCCATTCTAGCAAACGAGCCCCCCTCTCCCAGCAGCAACAGTGGGTTTAAACAAAGACCGGAAGAGGTTTGTGACAGCCCAAGGGCACAGAGACAGGATAGTCCAGTGGTTACAGCACTAACCTGCAGCCGGTTCTGCTAGACACCCCGTGAGACCATCGGCAAGTCACATAAAAGCTCCGTGCCTCAGTTTCCCCAGATGCACAACAGGAATAACAGCACTGCCCTGCCTCCCGGGAGGATAAATAAATTAAAGACTGCGAGGCGCCCAGATGCCCCGGTGATGGGGGCTGGCTACGCAGGTTCAGAATTCCCTAGCCGTCCCCACACAGGGAAGAGTGGGTTCTTGGTACTGGCAGACCAGGGCAGAACCCAATCCAAGGGCTGGAAGCTGAAGGGGCAGAGTTTGCCCGATGGTGGTGATTAACCATCAGTGCAACTACCTGGAGGGACAGGGCTGGATTCTCCAGCACTCGGAGCTGGGTGTTTCTCAGAGACACTCAAGCTCACCCCCAGGGAGGCAGGGATCACAGGGGAGGTTCTCCGGCCTGCACTACCCAGAAGGGCCAGCCGGCCCCTTCTGGCCTTGAAATCTACCCTGATACGTAGGAGTATTTGTACCCAAACCAGACTCTGGCTGTTCTCAGGGCAGGCGATGGGGATATCGGCCCGCACTGTGCAGAGGGCTGAGATCAGCAATGGGGAACGCTTGCTGACGGGCCCAGCAGAATGCCAGGGTGGGGCATGATGCCAACGGGCAAGGCAAGGGTCGGCACTGGCGTTAGCCAGGGGGTTGCTCACGCGGTTCCGCCGCACGCCCGTCCCCCAGCAGCTCCGCCATGCCCAATGCCCTTTGGCTCCGTTACAGCTGGCCCAGAAGTACGACCCCCAGCGGGAGCAGGAGCTGCGGCTGTGGATTGAGGACATGACGGGGGAGCGCCTTGCAGACAACTTCATGGAGGGGCTGAAGGACGGTGTCATCCTGTGCAAGTGAGGAGCCTTCGGACGGGGGGGGGTCCTGCCCTGCTGGGGGTGGGCAGCTCCCCAGCAATGGGGGGTTGGGCTCCGGTGTCGTTCTGCAAGACTTGGGGTGGGAGCGTGGCCCAGTTCCAGTCATACCCCAACATCTCCCCTCCCCGCCCCGTGTCCCCCTCAGGAGGAGAGAGCACCCAGGGAACCCATCTGCCGCAGGAGGGGCTCCCCCGTTGGAGTCAGCGCCGGCTGCAGCACTAGGGGGCGCTGTGCTACTGGAGGGTCTGGAGCACGAATGTGCCGTCCCTGCAGATCCCATGGTATTTCCTGTCGGACGTGGGGCGTTAGCCCAACTCCCGCGGCCACATTCAACCCGGGGCCATTCTACGGCCACCCACCCCCCTCTAGTTTCAGCGGGATGCGGGCGTCCTCCCTGCTGCTCGTAGTTTGGCATGCGGGCCCTGGTTACCAGCTCCTGCGCCCCACCCCAGAGCCAGCTGCCTCCCAGCAACGGGTGACGCCCTCGCCCTGCCGAACAAAACCCGTGCTCGGGCCTTCTCCTTTCAGACTCATCAACAAACTGCAGCCCGGCTCCGTGAAGAAGGTGAACGAGTCCACGCAGAACTGGCACCAGGTGAAGGCTCCCTCTGGGCTCTCGCTGCCCCAGCCATGGGGCCTGGCTTAGGACCCCCGCCAGGGTCACACTAGACAGTATCCTTGAAGCTAGTCCAGCCGTTGGGAGACTCTTCCCCAGCTGTGTTAGGCTCCCTAAGGGTGCTGGGAGACGCCCCAGGAAAGGGCGGGGGGTTGCCCGACAGGGAGATCTTTGTGGGCAGGGGAAGGGAGAAAATGGCACTGTAGCCTTCCTTGGCTGGAGCAATGGGTGGGCAGGGCAAGACCCAGCTCTCAGCCCGTCCACAACAGAGCCCTCGCCAGCACAGGGACGCGATAAGCGAAAGCCCCCGTGATTGGAGGAGAAAGCACAGAGCGTCACGTCAGATGACAAGGAAGCAGGGGCCCCTCTCTGTACTCTGGGAAGACAAGACTTGGGGTTCTGCCTGGAGAGCGGATGTGGAGCAGGGAGGGGTCACCAGCTGGGATGCTCCTGTCACACTGTAGGAATGGGGGGGGGGGGGTCGTCCGGTGCTGGGCTCGGGCGCGGTGGAGCAGCCGGGACTCGCTGGCCGTTCTGTAACCACCTGCCGTCCTGCCGCAGCTCGAGAACATCAGTAACTTCATCAAGGCCATCACCAAGTACGGCGTGAAGCCACACGACATTTTCGAAGCCAACGACCTCTTTGAGAACACGAACTACACCCAGGTGCAATCCACCCTGATCGCCCTGGCGAGCCAGGTGAGTCCGGCAGCGGCAGCGTGGCTCATCCAGGCCCCTAGCCCGGCCCCGCCTGGCGGGAGGTTCCTGGCATGTCGAAGGCACCCGCCGAGACCTTCGGGGTGAGGCGGCGTCCCTTGGCAGAGACACAGGGCACGGGCGTCCTTCCAGCCGCCTGCTTCGGGGGCACTGCAGACATGGCTGCTGATCAGAACCAGCCTCGGCCACTCCCCACACTCCACGCCAGACCCCCCTCAGGAATCGGCCCCTGGTTTGCTGAGTGCACTCAGCACGAGGGGTCAGAGCCGGCCAGGACGAGCTGGACTGGAGGGATGGGTGGGACTGACGCAGCCCCGTGCCCCCCCAGTGCACAGATTAATGCTTGAAATCATTTCCCCCATGGGGAAGAGCTCCTCCTCTTACCCACCCACCACGGCTCACAGCACCAGCCTTGGCTTTGAATCTAATCAGTGCCTGGGAACACGGGAGCTAGAGACGGGGCCGTGCGTGGGGGGAGACGGGGGCTGGTCTCCCCACTCCAGCCTGGGCTGTGGGTTTCTGCAGCGGGGGGTGTGGGGGGCAGGGAGATTTACCCCTCCAGCCATCCCCACATGAGCCCTGTTTGTTCCCGCCTCCCCCCCCGCAGGCCAAGACAAAAGGCAACAAAGTGAACATGGGTGTCAAATACGCCGAGAAGCATCAGCGCCGATTCCAGCCGGAGAAGCTGAAAGAAGGACGGAACATTATCGGGCTGCAGGTCTGTGACTCCCCCTGCCACGCGGCCCCTTGGCAGCCCCGGGAGCTCAGAGACAGGAGGCCAGAGATCTGGTCCCAGCACCATCCCGGGGTGGCAGCTCGTAGCTTTCCACAGCCGCG